AAACAAAAAAAAAAAAGAAAAGAGGAAACTGAATCAATAACGTCGGGATGCCGATTCTAAACCGTTTAAACAGCGAATGACAGATCAGCTACATTACGATGCACGCTTTCTAGTGAAAAATTCTAGGCGTGCGGTGACAGACAAACGTGATTTATGATTCGATATTTGATCTAGCAGTCAGGTGGAAACCGAGTGTACATCTATCAACCTATTTCATCTTTCTCTCGTCCTCCTTACCGAAGTTGTATATATCCAAGATTTTTTCGTCGTGACGGGACTACCTGTTAAAGGAGATGAATCAAAAAATAACTCTTAAGATGAAGGTAAACCGTATGATTCAGTTGCACGAGCAAAGAATGTGGGTTAGCCTCGTTAATGTCGATGTATCGTCGAGGAAACCGACTTATCCAGGAAGATTTGATTAATGCACACTCTAACAGAATTTTACTCGTGATTTATAATACACCGAGACTTAATTACGTCTCTTTGAAATTCGGTACGAATCATAAACAAGGCAAGAACACAGTCTACTTCGCATGATCTAGTAACTTTCTCGCGGTAGTATATTTTTATTCGGCGGATTTGCGTCAAGTTCATTGAAACATAATATTGTTTTGTCAAATTAACAGAGACTGGCGAGAACACTCGGAATCGATTAATTTCCACATTAAAGCCGCGACATGTGTCGGCGACACATCGTTCGCACAATCTGTCGGCAATATGTGCGACGATTTACCAGACGGAAAAAACGCGTGGAAATACGCGCGCTTTCGTAAATCCGCTTTTACTCACCGAAAGCAATTCCTCGAGGCAAATGATCCGACAACCGACGATATCCTTCCAGAGCTCCGGAAAAAAACTAACCAAAAATCGTATCCACGTGTACGAGTTCAAACTAATCACGACACTGAATCACTCACTGAATCCGCGAACGGGCACGCGATCCGATGACACTTTCGACACGCGATTTTATGGCTATGGAATTTCGTCACGTCGCGCGTTCACTCAAGAAACGGTACAAACGCTCATATTGCTGCCTCGCAGAGTGAATTACCAGCTTCCCTCTCTGATCAGCAGCCGATGGGCGTGGTTTAACTCCGTTGACACTCGAGGAGACACGACTGAATACGACTAAACTGCATTGGCGAGGCGGAAGGTTCATTCACACGCATACAACGCATCCTCAGCGAATCAAGTATTACGCGCGAAATTTCAAATAGATGTAAATGGATCAGTTTATAACGGGTAACAAATTTAATTAAGAAAGTTTTCTATAAGGGAATTTATTAAATTTCGAGTCAAACAGAAATTCATTTTATGAATTATAGATTCTATCAGATAATAGACAATGGATTGGATTAGTATTATTTGATCTATTTAAATGGAACCATTAATGATTATTTAATAGTACTATTTACAGATAGTATTTTACAATTTATAATGTTATTTGTAATAAATTTGACGTATTTAATAATCCAAATTATGAATTATAAAGCATTCTAATATTCAAATCATTACTGACGATCTAAATGATTGTCAAGGAGAGTGTAAAATGGAAACTGTAATTTGTAGTAACAGATTATTTTAATTAAATCAAAGTGTTTATTTTATTATCAAAGAAAATATAGCAAAATATATAATACTCTTAGTTTCTATGTTAACCATGAACAGTACCTAATCACTTATCTTCGATGAACACAGAATAATTGAAATGGAATAAATAATTTTATAATTCTCAGTGCATTTCAATTCTCTACTTTTGGAAGATTGCAATAAAAATTTTGTTTACTGGAATAAAAATATTTCCCATTATCTTTTACATAAATATCATGTTATATTAATTATTATTACTTACGTGTACAATTAATTTTTAAAATATCATCGGTAGGATTGCATGTTGCTTACAAAATATAAACAAAATTTTAAGAATAGAACAATAAGGAATTTAATATGACTCGAACGATAAGTGACTTTTTATTGAAATTTGTACAATGCTAATAAACAAAAAACTCTACCATGAAACAAATGCATAATAAAATGATCCGAACAAGTATTATGTCGTAAAGTGAATGCCAGTGCCATCTGCTGTCTAAACTAGCTAACGAGCATCACGTAATCACCGACGAGAGACAGGATAGACTGGACATCCAATGTAAATTTTTATTATACGGATGGGATATTACGTGACCATATTACCATTCCAGCATCACTTACAACCTTACCAACAAAGTACAAATCAGTACGAATAAATTAAATAAATAAATAAATAAATGAACGAATGAACGAATGAACGAATGAATATATATATATATATATACATTTATCGAAGGTATTTTACGCATCACCGTTTAGAATTTTCCTTTAACATCTATCCTTTTAAATTTTTTAACATCATTTTTATATATCAAGGAAAACTGAAGTTAACCTAATAATCATACAAAACAATCAAGACAAATTTTTCAAGTATAGAAGAATAACTTTTACTCCTAATGATGAAAATTATTCTTCCTTAAAAAGGTGAGTAGCTAGGGCGGTCTATTACATTTGAATCGTCAATTTTATAAATTGAACGCTCGTTATCAACAATTCTTCACTTTAATACAGTGCATCATTGAAGTTAGATATGATGTTAAATAGTGCAGTTAATATAAATTATAATTGGCACAATAGCCACTATGGTAATACATTAAACATACACGTGAACTCCCCCATTGATAACGTTTGTTTACCAGTTTGAACGTTTTACCATAAATGGCGCCACAGTCAATCCGCTGTGGCGTGTATCTATAATCAATATATTTATTTACAATGTTCAAATTATAATGTTAAAATACTTTTATCAACCAACTTTTATGACAGCTTGTTTTTAACTGATTATTTACAAAAAAAATATCACGGATATTAACATATATGCGGGAAACGTAAAAGTACTATTTTCATGTACCGTAGTACTAAAGTACTAAATAAATATTTGTATAACTTCATTAACATTTTTGATAAAAGTAGATAGTTGATTCTTTTTACGTATAATTGAAAGTATTTCTATTTGCAATGGAAACTCTCGGAAATATGTTAAATAATAAATAAGTGAATTGAATGTAACGGATATAAGTTGAAATGAACAAAATAGCCCGCACGCAATGTGCTAAAAAAGAATTTTAAAATGTGAGGTTGAACAATTTCTAATAACAAACAGAAATTGACTTTATCTACAAATAGATTTTGACGTTACCAACATATGGTTACACTGCACAAACTTACATCGGTAATGTTTGTGTATCGATTTGAGCGTTTTGCCACAGATGTCGTTACCAGTTAAAAGTGCAGATTTTAGGAAACAATTTTTACCATTATATATATTATACCCTATGCACAGAACGGTAAGAATTATTCATTACATGGGAAAGCTTATATACTATGCTGAAATCAAAAAAGGAATTTCCTAAAATTAATATTGCCTTTCTGCAGACAATGGCAGTCGGTCAATATCAAAGAGAACATTGTAACGCAGAGGTAACTGAGATTTTCTAAATACTGAAAATACTTAAATGTATATCCGTATTGTTCCGAGCATTCACGTTAGTTAACACGTTCGCTATCAGTGCTTATTTTGGTGACGGTCTCCTCAATTATAATATTTCTTTCAATCCAATAAATCTTCTGAATAAAATATTAGAAAAATGAAACTGAAACGAATCGTTAAGTTCCTAAACATAATGTCGTAGTTTATAATTTCTGATAACAATATTTATAGGATAAATTTCATTTTCATTACATGAAATATAGGATTACGGCCATCACAAATATGTGACGCTGGTAGCGAACGTGTTAATCGTCCCTTCTCAAATTTTCCGCGACCAAACTTACATTAGTCTACCTCGACGATTATTCCTGAACACCGAATTACTTTTTCTATTTAATATATTTGGCCAAGGAATTGGGCAGACTCTTCATACAGACTCGTCAACATTATCTCTGTGCAAAATAAAGCTGTTGGTAGAATATTAGCCTGATCAGAGCATAAAAGTTCCAAAAATTACAGGCAGTGACATTGAAATATTAAAATACTTTTTTGCATCATTTTGCATCTTAACTTCGCGTCGTAAAAACTCCTACTCGCAAACATTGTTTTTGCAAAATGAAGCTAAGTCCAGTACTGCACCCTCCTCCTGTTTGTCAAACTTTCGGAAGTTTCGCCAAAATTCCTATAAGCTGCAATGTCTATACGTATTTTAAGTCAGCGACGCTGAATAGGAAAAACTGCATCGCGGATTATGGAAGTGTGTTGTAGCTGTGCTTGCTGTCTACTTTCTTTACCACTAGATGTTCGCACCTGTGTATCTCCGTCGACTGTGCTCAGTTTTTCAACCCCTTAAGCTAACCCAAGCTGCCCCCATATCCCTAACTGATAATATTTACCATCAACCCTTTCGTAGATTGTTTTCGTTTATCTTCTCTCACATTTCTTCGTATTAGTTAGCGGCAACCAAAAAAACCTTTTCATTGTCGATAAAGTTTATCAATAATCAAAGTAAATCCCCGGCCATTTAGATTGGTTATTGCCAGAGATTGAAAATAAGTCAATCAAACCGAAATAAGTCGTAACAGTTTTTCGGTATAAAAACTGGTTTTTCGGTTTTGGTTTTTCAGAACCGATATTATATGATAATCGTAAATGATAAATGAAGAACCGAAAAATAACAGTTTTAGGACCGTTTCAGAACCGATATAATATCGAGGAATCGGAACCGAAACCAATATACCGAATAACAGTTATGATTTATTTCAGTTTTTCATAGCTGTTTCAAGAACCGAAAGCCATATCATAGCAATTTTCAATCCCCGGAAACTGGGAACCGAAACAAATTCAGTTTAACGGTTATTGGTGACCAAATTTTGTATTAAAATTTTTAGCTAGTATATCAAGATTTTAAATCTTGTTTCATAAGAATTATTACGTTTGTTTTTTTTTAAATTACTTTGATATTTATTGAAAATTACTTTGAATTAAATAAAAATTAATTTTTACTTAGTAACTTTTTTTAAAATTTGTAAAATATTTAAAAATTATTTTGAATCTTTGGACATAAGTGAAAGAATAAGAATTGACTTTATCTCATCTGTGATTTTTCATTGAAAAGGAAGTTATTAATAGTTATTATGTTCTACATGCACAGATACTTTAACTGGAATTTTGGGATTGAGTGAATTAGCAAAAGAATAATATAGTACATCTGAAGTGTATTTAAATCTGTTACAATTTTATTTCCACGATATTGATACTTCCAAGAAATTTCGTTCACATCACGATATACACGACACTTAAAAGTACATGTTTATTTATGGTTAAGAAATGTAAACAGTTTGATGCACTCAATAAATAAGATTATAGTTTTCAAATAAATACATTAAATTTCACATACAAATGTTACCGTGAAATAAGCTGGATAAATATAAAAAAAAAGTTACACTCGAGACACATGCAAAGTTACATAAAATACCAATTATTTGTCAAAATTTGAATGATTGTTAATTAATAAATATCTAATAAATAAATGCATAAAATAATACACACATGCTCACACATACACGCGTTCAAACGATATGCATTATAAATCGAATGTACACGTTAAAATTACACATACATGACAGAGCTTAGTAGACAAAATGAGTATATACGAAATCAATTAAATATATGAGATGTCTCGTATAAAAAACATCTTATGAAATATTACTACTTACTTTGATAATGATTACAATATTTGTAAAAACTACATTTACAAGTGTCATGACGCTCTTTCCTTCTTCGGTTGTACTCATTTTACATAATTATATAATTTACATAACTATTGTAGTAATTACTCTATCTTACTTTCTATGTATCGTACACGTTATAAACTACATAATTATCTTACAGTACGCCATAGACTAGATTTATTGACCACGGACTGAGATCGGGTACTCTACTAAGTTTTCCAAGTTTCGCTTAATTACCCAAAAATGAATACAGGAACGAAATGTCTTTAGTAAATACAGTCAATATTTTGTAATTTATGTATATGATAGATGTTTCATCTAGACCTGTATAACAGTAATTACACTCGGATTAGACTG